ATATGGGTTTCGTGGGGCAAATCGTTTAAATCACGCCCAATACCCAAAGCCGAGGCTGCAGTACGGACTGTTGCAATCGGCCGTGTCAGGTCTGTGCCCGAAACCCATAGGCCCCATAGTAGTTCCTTTTTTGGATTCCCAAAAAGGATCCTAAGTATAAGCCACAGAAAGGAACTACTATGGGGCTTATGGGTAAGCCCTGAACCCTAAACCATCGCATTTTTCGGGCATTGGTGGCATAGTTGTAAGCAGTATAGAAACATTCTTTCCTCTTCGTAGCAGTAGGGTGGAACAATTGGCAACAGCGAGACGGAACAGACAAAGAATTGGACTCACGAAGTTTCATCGTCACGCTCGTCTGCATCTTCTGTCATAGTCGTTCTCATAGTCGCACTTGGCTAGCGTCCATCATGATCCCCTCCACCGCTGCTGCATGCTGGACTCTTAACATCTTTGATCACTGGAGATCTTTCCGTGTAGCACCGTGGGTGGAGGAAACCCCAAACCCTAAACCGCCGGAAGGGAGTGAGCTCAGGGAGCTGAAGGTACGATGGGCACCTCTCCCATGAGTCCCAAAGCTTATAAACCCCAAACCCTGTACACCCTGATATAGGGGCTTCAATAATTACCTATATCATTCTGGGGGCTGCTTATTTTAATTATACTATATTCTACTTAGTAAGGCTCCTATATTATCTGTGAACTCCTCCTCTGCTACTAAATCTAGGGCTTTGGGATGTCGAAGCTTGAAGCGGCCGGCGTTTCCAAGGAAGTCGATGGTGGAAATCCTCAGTAGCAACACGGAGGCGGCTCAACAGTAAGCTTGGTTGGGGTACTCAGTGCAGCCTCGGGGCACTTTGTGACTTGAGGGTGGGAGCAGGGCCTTCGCTATTACCTTCGCTCTTAGTTTTAGAGACTTGGTACTGTACAACTGTCAGTTAATCCTAGACCCTAAACCCTAAACCCTGGCATGTTCGTTGATCGGCTGCAGTAGGATTTCGAGCGATTTCGGAGGGTTTTTGGATTGCGAGGCCGATAAAGTCTCGGATCTGCCGTTGTTCAGAATTTTTGGGGTTAAGGGTTTAGGGTTTAGGGCTTGGGAAAGAGAGGAGGCGCACCTCCTCCTGAACGAGACGCCGGGCATGACATGCTACTAGTATCCTGGGCAGGAAGACCTGTGACCTTCGTGCTTTTAACAGCTTAGGAGTTTAGTGTCAGGCATCAGTACATGTTCACGCAAATACTGATATCGCCGGCGTGTGCCACAACCAGACATCTTCGTCTTCGCACCTGCGGCGTATTCATAGGAGGCACGGCAATCTACTTTTTACTGCTCGGTCAGTACAATCAGCTCAGTAGGAACCTTAGACCAGCAGCCCCGAACCTCTAACGGTTTAGGGTTTAGGGTTTAGGGTCTTAGGCCTAGGGTTTAGGGTTTAGGGTTTAGGGACCTACTAGCTCTCAACTCCGAAACATCTTGCGGTCCACACTCGGCAGGATTTGGCCGTTGGCATGCACAACTTGCTCCTGCGAATGAGTGACTTGACGATCTGGGGTGCAGTGCTAAGGGACTTGTAGCCCTACATTGCATTGCATCAAGCTTTGTGGGGGTCTTGTCAAACGCAGGCAAACTTCATGTACCCTACAAGCCCTACCGTGTAAGCCGTATAAGTGCCATAAGTAAAGTTAGCTTTCCGTCTAGGGCCTTCGGATATAGACGAGTTTGACCGTTTTACCGCTTAAAACGACGGGGCTTGAGGGTTTAGGGCCGGAGTGTTTGAGAGGTCGCAAGGTTGAAGTTTAAGGCCGAGCAGCAGCGCTGAAGAGTGCAGGTAGGGCCCGGGTGATTCTCTAAATCAGATTTGAAACGTCAGGAAACTGAAACGCCAAAGCCTAAACTCCAGACCCTTGAACATAAACCTAGAATATCTGGCCCTGGAGGTTTTAAAGGGTTTGCATTTGATTTGGGTGTGCCTGAGCAGCATGGATTGTGCTCTGCATGTGCTCTAGCCTCCACTCTATAACGCAGACAGCTGAGCGCAAACTTGACGCATCCTAAACCCTAAACCCCTCAACCTTAAACCCTTAAACCCCTAAACCCTAAACCCTAAACCCTAAACCCCTAAACCTTAAGCCCCTAAACCCTAAACCCTCGAGATCCGAAGGCCCCACTGAGGTTGAGGGTTTGGGGTTTGAGTTTAGGGCACTGCTAGGTTGCGGTATGTCGCACACTATATAGACGGTTGATACCAGTTTGGAGTTGGCATATCTTGCAAGAGAGCGTCACCCTGCATCAGACATCTCTGAACCAACATAGGGGCCTGTCATTAAGAATTTTGATGGTTACGAAGCCTCAATAATTGCCAAGATAATTGCTTGAAGGTTCCTTATTATTAGAACTATACTATCAAGGAGCCCAAAACCCTATTCCAATTATTTAGGCCCCTACATTCATGTAGACCGTCAAACACCGAAGTAGATTTCCGCAACTCTCATAAACCGTGCTTCAATACCCAGACTGTCAACCCAAACCCTAAACCCTAAACCTTAAACCGTGACAACCCAAACCCTGGGCCCTACATCGGCCGTAGGCTCTTCGACACAGAGTAGCCCTCCTCAAACGTTCGTTCCAGCTGCAAATCCCGAGCCGTATACTCTAAATCCTATAATCTTCAAACCCTAAACCCTACCTTAAACCCTAAACCCTAAACCCCAAAACCCTAAACCCTAAACCAAAAACCCTAAACCCTAAACCTTAAACCCCAAACCCAAAATCCCAGACCGTCTGCTCCCTGAATCCTGTAGCTTCTAAACCCGAATAACCATTCACCCCGCATCTCCTCTAGTTCTTAGGCCCTGTAGATGCCAGAACGGAGAATATAGGGTCTTTATAACAACTACCTATGCTAGTTTGGGGCTTCCTTGTTATACTTGTACAAGAATATATCGCAAAATGCTACTCTCATCAGTATTAAGCCCCTACCTTAATTCCGGAAGCCTGCATCCCCACATTGCCCTAAACTCCTAAACCCGAAGCCCTTAGCCCTAAACTCCTAAGCCCTAAACAGGGACCCTAACTCTAGAGAACTACACACCATGGCGGCTTCGACGGTGCGCGTCTCCCTAAACCCTGAAGTCCTAAGCCCTAAACAGGGACCCTAACTCCCTAAACCCTAAACCCTAAATCCTAAACCCTACACCCTAAACCCTAAATCCAAAACCCTAAACGAGAACCTTCCCACCATGGCGGCTTTGACAATTCGCGTCGCCCGCCTCAGCGGCCACGACTGCGAAGTCCAAGCCGCAGCCACCTGGACCGTGGCCGATCTCCGCCGGGCCGCGGAAGTCGAGCTCGGAGGCGGGTTTAGGGTTTAGGGTTTTATAGGGTTTTCGGGTTTAGGTTTAGGGTTCAGGGGCTTTGGGGTTTAGGGTTTAGGGTTTTATAGGGTTTAGGGTTTAGGGTTCAAGGGCTTTGGGGTTTAGGGTTTATAGGGTTTTATAGGGTTTTCGGGTTTAGGGTTGAATAGGGTTTAGGGCTTCATAGGGTTTAGGGTTTAGGGTGCATCGTTGGGCAGTTAATGTAGGGGCCTTAGTAATTAGAATAGGGTTCCTTTAACATAAAGGGTTCCTATAAGCGTTATTATAAGGGTTCTACAAGGGTTTAAGGCAGGGGCCTTAATAGTTAGAATAGGGTTTTGGGGGTATACTAGACTATAACTATTGTAAGGAACCCCCCAAAAATAGTGTAGGTAAATATTAAGGCCCCTATAGTTCGGGCTCTACAAGGTTTCTATGAGGGTTCTAGAAGGGCTCTAGAAGGTTTTTGATGGTTTGTGGGTTAAGACTTATGATGAGTCTTATGATGGTTGTATTGGGGTTCTAAAGAAGGGGTTTCTGAGTTAATGGGCTTGTGGATTTGGGCTTTGCAGGTTGAGGCTTGCTAGGTTCAGGGTTTAGGGGTTTTGAGCCGTTTCAGGGTTCTTGTGAGCATCTTTGCTCTTCATGGATGGGATTTCGGTTTTGGGGTCGGCTCGGCTCGAACACCCCCCAAACCCTAAATCCTTGATTGAGGAGCATGCCTTGGATCATCATATTAAGCCGTCCATAATTCCGAGGTATGTTCCTCAGTTTGGGGGGGAGGCTCAAGCCGTCCAAAAATCTGGTGTCGGCTCGTTTGTTAAGGGGTAGTAGGCATTTTTAAGTAAGAGCCGAACATGCGCTGTGAAGTCCCTTTAAGGAGTGGGTTTGGTTTTGCCAAGGACCCGAGCATCACTTTGATTCTTAGATTTTGGGGCCTGCAAGGCTGTAGGATAGGGTCGGATCAGCGACAGAAGCCAGCTGAACATAAACCATTGCAGCCCACCCCCTTCGAAGGATGATACTGTACGTACTCTGACAAAACGTTTAGGGTTTGGAGGTTTAGGGTTTAGGGCTTTACGATTCTGGCTCCTGTTGGAGGTTCAGGATTTTGCGATTTCAGGTGGCTTCCACGGTGCTGAGTCCCTTTGATACACAGCACCTTGCGATTTCGGGTTTGGTTTAGGGGCATGCCGAACCCTACACCCAATATAGGGGCCGTAACAATTACATTTTGGCTTGGGGCCCATTATACTACAGCTATAATAAGGAACCCCCAGCATAGTATAGGAAACATCTGCCCGGAGAGGTTTGAGTCAAATCGTCCGAGAATCTGGCGAAATTCTGGCGGATGCCTCTGCGCTCAGCGATGTGGGAGTGAAGCACATGGAGACGGCAGCTCGCCTGAAGATTTACATCTTTTGGGATCTAAAGTTCACGAGAAACCGAAGAGCCAGGTAAAGTTGGCACGTGTCTCCTCAACATCCATGCAAATCTTGCTATCTCCACATGCCTACTACACCGCACTATGGAGTCCGAACAAGGGAGTAATGATATTCCTGAGACCGCACGGCGACACACCGGCACAACAACTGGCCGGCAAGACTGAAGCTAACGGCCAGTGATAATGGTATCAGTCCGGTTTAGGGTTTAGGGTTTACCTCTAAACCCTAAACCCTAAACCCTAAACCCTAAACCTCAGGTTGTTGCTTTGGCGCGCCAACCCCAACTGGTCTCCAACAGCTGCGGCCACGCTCTCTCCATGAGCGATGGGCGAGTCTTCACGAGTACCTGGGCCGCTAGTTTCGGAAAGGACCGCCTTTGATGGAAAAATACTGTTGATGATGTAAATCCTGCATTACCTTAAGGACCCTATAAGCTATGGGAATGATGGTATATTCCTTATTATGGGTGATGCAGGATTTATATCAAGAACCGTAGTTCAATAGACCCCAGACCCTGGCCTGACCATTTGGAGGCTTCAGTTCTATTTTACAAGGGGGCAGAGTAACAACAATCAATTTTGATACTTGTGATGATGATGATGGTCCCTAAACCCTAAACCCTAACAAAAGAGGCGCTTAAAACAAAAGAACTAAAACCTAAACCCTGGTGCTGCGTGCCTGTCAAGACCCAAAGCCTTCACCCTGGAAGACGATAGCCCCGAAGCTCAACACCGCCCCAGGCTCCTCCTCTTATAGAGGCCCGAAGCCCAAGCCCTCAAACCCCAAACCCTAAACCCTAAGCCATAAACCTAAACCCCTGTTGCCTGGATGTTGCGGACGGAAAAACGGCTTCAAAAAAAAAACTAAACCCTGAAGCCTAAACCCCAAGCCTTATACCCTAAACCCGAAACCCAAAAAGGCCCTGAGGCCCTAAACCCTGCGCCTAGAGCCCCGAAACGAGAGAAAGGTGGGGCTGCGACTTCCGAAGCTAGGGCAGGAAGCAGTCCTAATGGGTTTGGGGGTTTAGGGTTTGGGGTTTGGGATTTAAGGGTTTGGGGTTTAAGGTTCAACGGGGTTTGGGGGTTTAGGGGTTTGAGGGTTTAGGGGTTTAGGGTTTAGGGCTAGTGGGTATAGCTTTATGAAATCAAAGGAGCACTACCTTGCAAAGGAGAAGGCCTGGAACCTGCCAGACCAGACAGAGACCTAACCCAACCCTAAACCCCAAACCCTAAACCCTGAACCCTAAACCCCTAAACTCTCAACCCTAAACCCTAACCCCCCCTCCCCCTAAACCCTAAACCCCTAAACCCTATACACCAA